ATTACTGTTATTAGTACAGGGATGATTTATTAAAGTATTAAAGGGATGAATAAGTGTTGGATATTTCCAACACCGGGGGGGGGGGGGTCACCACTCCCTGGTCGAGTACCTCCCTGGTCGACCACCTCTCTGGTCGACCACCTCCTTGGTCGACCACCTCCTTGGTCGACCACCTCCCTGGTCGACCACCTTTCTGGTCGACCACCTCCCTGGTCGACCACCTCCCTGGTCGACCACCTCCCTGGTCGACCACCTTTCTGGTCGACCACCTCTCTGGTCGACCACCTCCCTGGTCAAGAGGCAACAGTATTTAGGAACAAGTTATAACAAGTAGAGCAATAGGAGAGTAGAAAAAAATCCTAGAACCCACTCCAGGTTTGACCCAGGTATCCAAGCCATCCAGCTGACCTGAGGTACCAGGCTGGGATCCTGGGGTACCAGGCTGGGATCCTGGGCTACCAGGTTGGGATCCTGGGGTACCAGGCTGGGATCCTGGACTACCAGGTTGGGATCCTGAGGTACCAGGCTGGGATCTCGAGCAGGGGTTTAAGAGAGCCTTGGGGTCCAGGTGTGTTTATAGAGATATTAAGTGTACTCACCTAGTTGTGTTTGCAGGAGTTGAGCTCTGGCTCTTTGGTCCCGCCTCGGTGTGACATTTGTGTGTGACATTTGACCAATGTTCCAGACAAGAGGCATAGGCCAGGCAGCCTACAGTGAGTGGCAGGAACAGGAAATCATAAATGCCAGATGACCTGGCTTTAAAGAGTGTAAATGTGGGTGGTTGTAACCTTTCCATCCCTGCCCATTGAATGGGGGGGGGGGTTGTGGTGGGTGGGGGGGGGGGGGGGTTGTGGTGGGTGGGGTGGGGGGTGGGGGTGTGTGGTGGGGGGAGGAGGGGGGTGCAGGATAAGTCCATCAATAAAGACACCAGCTGTCCATGTGTGTCAGTTGCTTGGCTTAGAGACTGTACCCGTGGTCGGTCTCGAACCCATTAATTGTATGTGCCTCTATAATAGTTTCCACTACCGCCCACGGGATGGTATGGGGAGCATAATAAATGAACTTAACTACATAATCTTGACAGTTACAAACGACCTTGAGAGTGGAAATACCCGGAGAAGGTTTCTGGAGTTGTTGTCCCCGAGCCCGGCCCGGGACCAGGCTCAGTATTGAGCGAGCACAGTGCAGGCGGCCTACGGTCCCCTGGGAAATGAGAAGATAACGGTTCATTGTTGCAACCAGTCGATATGTGACTTAAAGGGATGGAGTGTGGTTTGTGCAGTGAAGGAAGGCGGGATCAAACTGGCACAGTTGAGGGCCAGTAGGGAGTGACAGGTCACACCCATTCCTAGAAGGGTCATGGTCAGGGTCTCTGTGATCAACTGTGGGCTTAGGGCCTAGTACAATCTATAGTACTGTATCGTCCTTTGCAGATGACACTAGGTTCCTCATGAGAGTAGGCAACATAGAGGACACGGCAAACCTCCATTCAGACGTAAATCAGGTCTTTCTATGGGCAACAGAAAATAATATGGTGTTTAACGAAGATAAGTTCCAGCTCATGCGCTACGGGAAAAATGAAGATATAAAAACAGAAACCACGTACAAAACTCAGTCGAATCATAACATAGAACGAAAAGGCAATGTAAAGATCTGGGTGTACTCATGTCGGAAGACCTTACCTTTAAAGAACACAATAAAGTAGCCGTCACAACTGCAAGAAAAATGACAGGTTGGATAACAAGAACTTTCCACACTAGAGATGCTATACCGATGATGATACTTTTCAAGACGCTAGTGCTCTCTAGAGTGGAGTACTGCTGCACAATGACAGCCCCTTTCAAAGCTGGAAAAATTGCTGACCTGGAGAGCGTGCAGAGATCCTTTACTGCTAGAATCCACTCAGTAAAACATCTAAACTATTGGGACCGACTAAAGAGCCTAAATCTGTATTCTCTTGAGCGCAGGCGGGAGAGATACATAATAATTTACATTAGTAGAGAGAAAATAACTGGCCGATCCCTCACAGTGTTCAAGAGAGAACTGGATAAACACCTCCAAAGGATACCTCATCAATCAGACTTTGACTCATACGTCCAACAGCCTGGTTGACCAGTCCAGCAACGAGGAGACCTGTTCGACGACCGGGCCGCAGGGACGGTGAGCCCCGAAATCATCTCAAGGTAAAGGTAAGGTAGGGTATAAAATCTTCTGACTTCGGGATAGACTCTGGGTGGCCGAAGGGGCCATGGATTTCGGGGCCCTGTTGTTCATTAGGAGTGAGAGTGTGTGTGTGTTGTGTGCTACGGGGGAAGAGAGACCAGAAGCTGGTGGTTGAGACCTCTCCTCAGGATGGTGGAACACCTTACAAACTGCAGAGTCAATGAATAAATCCACAAGGGCCGTGACGAGGATTCGAACCTGCGTCCGGGAGCATCCCAGACACTGCCTTAATCAATGTCAAAATTGACCATGTAATGTATCAATCATACAATGTATGTATGTGATGTAACTATATAACCTGAGCTTGTAAAAGCACCTTCATCACCTTCAGTGATTAAGTGCTTAATTGCACACTAGTTTCTTCATCAGCTTCCTCACCCTGTCAGGGTAAATGAGACAAATGTATGTGAATGCATGTGTGTGTGTATATATGTATGTGTATGTGTGTGTGTGTATGTATATGTATGGGTATAAAGCATATATGGAAGCTGATCAGAATTACATTTCACCTTTGTGAATGTACATTAATGACACTATGTAAAAGACACATCTAATACTTTATGTAGGGCATACGTAAATCTGTGTATCTATGTATTTACGTATGTAGGTTAGCTTAGCATTTTAAAAGCACCGAATCACCTTCTGTGGTTGAGTGTTCAATAAACCCTTGAACTTAAATCGCAGCGTTAGTAACAAGACACCTGGTGTGGTTCTCAAGCTATATCTTGCTCTAGTTAGGCCCCATTTAGATTATGCAGTTCAGTTTTGGTCGCCATATTATAGAATGGATATAAATTCACTTGAACGTGTCCAGCGTAGGATGACTAAGTTAATTCCCCAAATTAGAAATCTTTCATATGAAGAAAGATTAACAAAGCTTAAGTTGCATTCACTGGAAAGGCGAAGAGTTAGGGGTGACATGATAGAGGTTTACAAGTGGATGAATGGACATAACCGGGGGGATATTAATAGGGTATTAAAAGTATCAACACAGGACAGAACACGAAACAATGGGTATAAATTGGATAAGTTTAGATTTAGGAAAGACTTGGGTAAATACTGGTTCAGTAACAGGGTTGTTGATTTGTGGAACCAATTGCCGCGTAACATTGTGGAGGTGGGGTCCCTCGATTGTTTCAAGCACGGGTTGGACAAGTATATGAGTGGGATTGGGTGGTTTTAGAATAGGAGCTGCCTCGTATGGGCCAATAGGCCTTCTGCAGTTACCTTTGTTCTTATGTTCTTATGTATATGTTTAACACTTCTCTAACCCTGTCCATGGAGGACAGAAGAAAATGTATATATGCTGGTTAGCATTGTAAATGTGTGGCCACGTCTGTGGTAGAAAATAATAAAAAAAAAAAAAAAAAAAAAACTGCCTTAATCGACTGAGCTACGACAGGGTAAAAGGTATTGACATAGCTCGGGTGCAGTGGGGGGGGGGTTGTGTAAAAGCCTGGTTTGTGCCTCGGACAGGCTACGGGATCCAGTAAGTTCAGTAGAACTTCGGTTTCAACCCTTTTACCCTGTCGTAGCTCAGTCGATTAAGGCAGTGTCTGGGATGCTCCCGGACGCAGGTTCGAATCCTCGTCACGGCCCTTGTGGATTTGTTCATTTAATGCATCACGTTAGTGTGATCTCTGTGTGTACAGAGTGTGTAGTGTGTAAATGCTGGTTCCCCTCTTCAGCTGGCATTAAGCATATCAATTTCATTGGCCTTAGGTTAGGGGCTAGTTAGCTAGGATGTTTATTTGACTTTATAAAATAAATTTGTTAAAGTACGAGACCGTTGAATATTAATTAAAACTGTCTTACAGACTGGTAGGCTGCTCCTCCAGTTTCCTTACTCATTACCTTGTTTTATGACTTGATTTAATTAAGTGTCAATTACCCATTTCTAAGTCATTCAGTATTATCAGAGAATGAGTAAAGTGGTGATGATTACACGAGTGGCCAAGAATCAGTCTGCCAGTTCTGTTATCTTTGCCCAGTTATCTTTGTCCTGGGAATAGTTGGAAAACAACAAAAACAAACATGTTATGGGAGCGTGAATGCCAGGCGCACTTGGTCTAACATAACATCCGGCTCCATACCTCACTCACACACTCGGAATTTGTTATGATCTAGTTGGCACACGCGTCAGACCGGTTCACTGATCCGTACAGCCGGGCTGTGGTGGGTATGTGGGTCTGCGGGTCGCTCCAAGCAACAGCCTAGTGGACCAAACTCTCACAAGTCAAGCCTGGCCTGGTGGCATCATTGGAGTATACTTGAGTATGAGTACAGGTACACAAGTACTAGTAATGACCAAGTAAGAGGTGGAAACACAGGTCTGGGGTAACGTAGGCACACAGGTGTCAGGAGCAGGTGTTATAAGGAGCCCCGGGTTGGGTTGTTACAAGGTAAACCCACATCCTAATATAGGGTCTCGACCCGTAATCTATTTGTGAATACAAAAGTACAGTACCTGAGGGTCGGGTGTCGCACCACGACTCTGGACCTCCAACTTGAACACAAAAATGTGTCTCTTTCTCTGTGTCTGAAGGTCATATAAAATGTTTCACCCACTTACAGCCGCACTAAATATAACAATTGCCAGTGAAAGCAGAGCTAACTTATTTACTTGAGGCCACCATCTCTAGTGGCCTCGACGAGGACAGGAAGCCGGCGGCTAGTCAAAGGTTGCCCCTTATTCCCGAAGATTAAGGGGGCCTTAAGCCTCAGTGGGGGGGGGGAGGGTTCACCATGAGTCCAGCTGAGTTATAAACTACACTTGGTTAGTGGGTTAAACCCAGTTGGGTCTGGATAGTAGGTGGCTGGGTGACCAGGCGGTGAGCCAGGGTGGCAGCTGGAGCCAGGGTGGCAGCTGGAGCCAGGGTGGCAGCTGGAGCCATGGTGGCAGCTGGAGCCATGGTGGTAGCTGGAGCCATGGTGGCAGCTGGAGCCATGGTGGCAGCTGGAGCCATGGTGGTAGCTGGAGCCATGGTGGCAGCTGGAGCCAGGTTGGAAGCTGGAGCCATGGTGGCACCAGGAGCCATGGTGGTAGCTGGAGCCATGGTGGCAGCTGGAGCCATGGTGGCAGCTGGAGCCAGGGTGACAGCTGGAGCCAGGGTGGCAGCTGGAGCCAGGGTGGCAGCTGGAGCCAGGGTGGCAGCTGGAGCCAGGTTGGAAGCTGGAGCCAGGGTGGCAGCTGGAGCCATGGTGGCAGCTGGAGCCATGGTGGCAGCTGGAGCCATGGTGGCAGGTGGAGCCATGGTGGCAGCTGGAGCCAGGGTGGCAGCTGGAGCCAGGGTGGCAGCTGGAGCCATGGTGGCAGCTGGAGCCATGGTGGCAGCTGGAGCCATGGTGGCAGCTGGAGCCATGGTGGCAGCTGGAGCCAGGGTGGCAGCTGGAGCCATGGTGGCAGCTGGAGCCATGGTGGCAGCTGGAGCCATGGTGGCAGCTGGAGCCATGGTGGCAGGTGGAGCCATGGTGGCAGCTGGAGCCATGGTGGCAGGTGGAGCCATGGTGGCAGGTGGAGCCATGGTGGCAGCTGGAGCCATGGTGGCAGGTGGAGCCATGGTGGCAGCTGGAGCCATGGTGGCAGCTGGAGCCAGGGTGGCAGCTGGAGCCATGGTGGCAGGTGGAGCCATGGTGGCAGGTGGAGCCATGGTGGCAGCTGGAGCCATGGTGGCAGGTGGAGCCATGGTGGCAGGTGGAGCCATGGTGGCAGGTGGAGCCATGGTGGCAGCTGGAGCCATGGTGGCAGCTGGAGCCATGGTGGCAGGTGGAGCCATGGTGGTAGCTGGAGCCATGGTGGCAGCTGAAGCCATGGTGGCAGGTGGGAGGGGCTAACAGGGTTAAGGCTGGGTAGGACTAGCGGGTATAAGGCTGATGTGGGCGAGAACAACCTCTCAACCTCTCAGTGTATAACTAGTTATAATGGCGGGGCCCAGGAGCTGAAATCCATGCCATGTGAATACAGGTAGGCATGGGTGCACACGTCCACCTTGACATTTCAGCGGCTTCAGTAAGAATGCTGAACTGGACGGGAACAATTATTGAGCTCAACTGGATATCTGGTGAAATTTGCGAAGGAATCTTGCACACGTAAATGGGACTTGGTAAGGTAAGACATATTACCTTACTCAGAGGTAAGACATATTGGAGCGGCAGCCTGGACGGGTCACTGCCTGATGGCCGTGTATTGAGGTTACCTGGTTGAGGTAAACAAGGTTAAAGTGCTAAAAGTGTTTGAAAGAGTGATTAGGAATCAAATTTCTAGTTTTATGGAAAATAATGAACTACAGAGGCAGAGGTGCAACAGGTACACGCTTCCACTATACATAAGGGGCATAACTGGCCGACCCCTCACAGTGTTCAAGAGAGAACTGGATAAACACCTCCAAAGGATACCTGATCAACCAGGCTGTGACTCATACGTTAGGCTACGAGCAGCCGCGTCCAACAGCCTGGTTGGAGGCCTAGTCGACGACCGGGCCGCGGGGACGCTACGCCCCGGAAAGCTCCTCAAGGTAAGGTACACAATCCAGGACAACATGGATTTAGAGCGGGAAGATCCTGTCTGTCACAGTTCCTCAACCACTATGACAAAATTACAGAAGCTCTAGAAGAAAAGCAAAATGCAGATGTTGTATACACAGACTTTGTAAAGGCGTTCGACAAATGTGACCATGGGGTGATAGCTCACAAAATGAGGTCAATGGGAATAACTGGTAAAGTAGGACGCTGGATACTCAATTTTCTGTCGAACAGAACACAAAAAGTAAGTCAATCAAATAAAATAAAGTCCAAGCGATGTTAAAAGCTCTGTACCTCAGGGTACAGTCCTTGCACCGCTACTGTTCCTTATTCTCATATCAGATATAGACAAAAATACACGTCACAGCTTCTTGTCATCCTTTGCAGATGACACAAAAATCAGCATGAAAATTACCTCTGCTGAAGACATTGAAAAATTACAAGCAGATATCAACAAAGTTTTCGACTGGGCAGCAGAAAATAACATGATGTTTAACAGTGATAAATTTCAGGTACTCAGGTACGGCAAAAATGAGGATCTGAAACATAATACAGGGTACAAACCACAATCGAATCTCCCCATAGTAGGAAAACAGCATGGGCCTGCGGGCCGCTGCAAGCAACAGTCTGGTGGACCAAACTCCCACAAGTCAAACCAGGCCTCGGGCCGGGCTTTAGGAGTAGAACTCCCAGAACCCCATCAACCAGGTACCTTGAGGTGTTTTCGGGGCTTAGTGTCCCCCGCGGCCCGGTCCTAGACCAGGCCTCCTCGTTGCTAGACTGGTCAATCAGGCTGTTGGACGTAACTGCTCGCAGCCTGACGTATGAGTCACAGCCTGGTTGATCAGGTATCCTTTGGAGGTGCTTGTGGGCCAGGATTTATCATTCACGCAACCACTAACGAAACCTGTACATCTTTTCGCAATCTTTCCGTTTTTTTTTACTATTTAACACTTTACGATCTCCGAAGTATTACGTTAATGTTTATAAGATTAATAACCCTGGGTTGTGATATTTCGCAGCTCTTGAAGAGCCTAATAAATGTAAACAAAGCCGCCATGATGGAGGAGACGTGACCAGGTCTCGTGAGAGGCGGCAGACATGACTGATGAGTCCTGGTCCTGGTCCCGCCTCGCCAGGTGGCGTGATAAACAAAACATGACGACAACCTTGTAACGAATTAGTTCCTTGTGGTTACCTTAGTGCCACATTCTTCTTCTTGTCTTACACACCAGCTCTACCTGTCTCACACTAGTGTCTCTCCCGCCCCCCCTCACACTTATGTCTTCCCCCGCCCCCCTTATATTCTTAATTCTGTCCCTCTCACACTGATACATCCTTCCCTCCCTCACACTCATGCATCCTTCCCTCTCACTCATACATCCTTCCCTCTCATACTCACACATCCTTCCCTCTCACTCATACATCCTTCCCTCTCACTCACACATCCTTCCCTCTCATACTCACACATCCTTCCCTCTCACTCATACATCCTTCCCTCTCACTCATACATCCTTCCCTCTCACTCACACATCCTTCCCTCTCACTCACACATCCTTCCCCCCTCTCACTCACACATCCTTCCTCCCCCCCCCCCTCCCTCACACTCACACACATTGTAGTCACCAAGATAGATGAGACACTCACCAGGTGATGCTGGCCAGGCTGAGATAACACAACACATCTCAAAGTCTCCTACAAGTAATCATCACAGGTAATACAGATGAACGCGTGCTGTCCTTTTTTATGTATAAATAATTACAACTGTATTATATTCGTGTGTTGTACTAATTAAAGTTCATTTTTTCCCCAGGTGTGTACACGAGTGCCGAGGTGCACGTTGGGGCCGTAAGTGTTCACTCCTGGATTTTTTGTTTTGTTTTTAATTACGTTTGTAATTAAAATTAGTTCAAAGTAGTTTTGTTTCATTTCCTGTACTTTACGTGTAAAACAAAAACTGGTGGTGTAACTGGGGCTCTACTGGCCTGCTGCCTCGTCACCTTAGTCCTTGTTACACCTGTAACATTAGTTACATCAAATTTGTTATTTAGTTTTAGTTACATTTTGTTAGTATTAGTTTACATTTGTTACATTAGAACTAACCTTTTCATTGTCAGGGTAGTTAGTAAATGGAATGCACTAGAAAGTGATGTGGTGGAGGTTGACTCCATAAACAGTTTCAAATGTAGATATGACAGAACCCAGTTGGCTCAGGAATCTGTACACCAGTTGATTGACGGTTGAGAGGCGGGACCAGAGAGCCAGAGCTCAACCCCCGCAGGCACAATTAGGTGAGTACTTGTATGTGTGTCCAAGGCAGGAGACCAGATGCTTAGTGCTAGTCTCGCCCAGCGTTCTGCGATAACACATGGAGGGAACATGATAGTGTTATAGGCCAGTCGGGGTCGGCCTCAGTGCCAACCTTCAAGAAATATCGCCATCTATAGCGATCTAATTGCATTTTTCACTGTTTGATATTGGGGATTTCTTTTCTATAGGGGGGAGGGTATCAGTTTTTCAGCAGTCTGTAATGTATAATCTTTTGAGAAAGAGAAGAGGGAAAAGGTGGGGAGAGGGACAGGGGAAAAGGGAGGTCCATCACCCTTGCTTAGGGGCCCAGTACATCTAGCATTGGGCCCTTGCGTAAGGGCGATGGAACTTTTGCAAACAACCGCAAAGAAATAAATGAAATACTGAGGCTTCAGTGCGATACTGTTTTCAATGTACTTCTGACCACATTGAAGCTCAATGATCTAAACGAATTCTTTATAAATGTGGCACCAACATCGAACCACGTATCAGGTCCAAGCAACAGCCTGGTGGACCAAACTCTCACAAGTCAAGCCTGGCCTCGGGCCGGGCTTGGGGAGTAGAAGAACTCCCAGAACCCCATCAACCAGGTATCAACCAGGTATCAACCAGGTGTCACCCTAAACCCATTGAACTTCAAAGTAGCAATAGACAGCATGCCCATCTACTGTCTACCAGGTCCGGATTTCTGGAATTGCATATTCGTCAATATTTGAGACAAAACACTGTCACAGGCCCTAAACATCTTTCGGAGACGGAGCCTAGATACTGGTGTGATTACAGCTCTATTGATTAGGAATCCTTGCACGCGTTTGTCAAGTTCTCCTTGCGAGAGGTCGGCTAGTTGTGCCCCATTATATTTAGAGGCAGTGTGTTGAAAACTCTTAGGGCCTTTGATCTTTATAAGAGTTCGCTTTCTCTCTCAGCTTACTTATTGCATCTCTGCTTTTCAACGGGGCTATTTTGCACATTCTGCAAAATGGAGGCTCTTGTGCTGATAATAATTTACACACTTCCACCACTGCCAACCATAGCACTGCGTTTCAGTGTAGTTCGGCACTTATTTATGCACATTATATATTACCCGACTGGTTTTATTTGAGGTATTTTCTTACCTGTTAAATTTTGTTTAGTAAAAACTAGCTGTTTAAACATGCAATAGTTTGTCATGTCATACAAGTATGCAGTCAGGAGTTGCTGCCACTTGGCCAGAATAGTGGGTTAATTATGCACCCTTTACTCACTATAGCCAGCAGCAGCAGCAGTAGTGGAAACACTGCGCTCAAGTATTGGTTGAGTAAGTACGCCGGTGTTGTCTTAGCGAGGTAACTTAGTCATTATGAATCAATTCTTGACGCCAAGATCTACATCAGCAAGCTGTGCAAACATATCTGGACAATTAAGTAGGCAGAGCTAGGTTGATCCTAAATAATGACTCAAGATAATCTATACAGCTTGTATGAGGCTAATACAAGAATACGCAGCACTGGCATGGACCCCCACACGTGGTGAATGAAACGCGAACATGAAAAGTGCTGAGGTTCACGACCGGAGGGACCAAGTGACACCTAAAACGGCTAAGATTCCGGGACAGATATGAAGTTAACTAACTTTCAACCCTAGAGGAGAGAATATGATCACTGCATACCAGATACTAAGGGAAATAGACAAGGTGGCCAGAAATCCCTCATTAAATTGAGAGGACATAAATTATTTAAAATCAAGAAGTACTCGTTCCACAATACGCACTACCACTGAGCCACAACTTCAAACTCTGAACCTCAGGAAGGCTAAATTATAACGCACCGGGCACAAGGTTCTACAAGGCGGGGCCTTGAGCTAGAGCTCGGTTCCC